CTTGGATTGAGGAATCGGAGAGCCGAGTTCGAATTCCAGTCGAATCCATTACATTCACTTACGTGCTAATATCCTTGGGAAAGGTATGAATCCTCTTCTAGATTTTCCCGGTGGAGTAATGGATACCGGCTCGGATTGAGGAATCGGAGAGCCGAGTTCGAATTCCAGTCGAATCCATTACATTCACTTACGTGCTAATACCCTTGGGAAAGGTATGAATCCTCTTCTAGATATTCCCGGAGGATTAATGGATAGCGTCTCGGATTGAGGAACCGGAGAGCCGGGTTGGAATCCCAATCGAATCCATTACATTCACGTATGTGCTAATACCCTTGGGAAAGGTATGTATCCTCTTCTAATTTTTCCCGGAGGATTAATGGTTAGCAGCTCGGATTAAGGAATGGGAGAGCCGAGTTCGAATTCCAGTCGAATCCATTACATTCACTTACGTGCTAATACCCTTGAAAAAGGTATGAATCCTCCTCTAGATTTACCTGGAGAAATAATGGATAGTGACTCGGATTGAGGAATTGGAGAGCCGAGTTCGAATTCCAGTCGAATCCATTACATTCACTTACGTGCTAATACCCTTGGGAAAGGTATGAATCCTCTTCTAGATTTTCCCGGAGGAGTAATGGATAGCGGCTCGGATTGAGGAATCGGAGAGCCGAGTTCGAATTCCAGTCGAATCCATTACATTCACTTACGTGCTAATACCCTTGGGAAAGGTATGAATCATCTTCTAGATTTTCCCGGAGGATTAATGGATAGCGGCTGGATTGAGGAATCGGAGAGCCGAGTTCGAATTCCAGTCGAATCCATTACATTCACTTACGTGCTAATACCCTTGGGAAAGGTATGAATCCTCTTCTAGATTTTCCCGGAGGATTAATGGATAGCGGCTTGGATTGAGGAATCGGAGAGCCGAGTTCGAATTCAGTCGAATCCATTACATTCACTTACGTGCTAATACCCTTGGGAAAGGTATGAATCCTCTTCTAGATTTTCCCGGAGGATTAATGGATAGCGGCTCGGATTGAGGAATCGGAGAGCCGAGTTCGAATTCCAGTCGAATCCATTACATTCACTTACGTGCTAATACCCTTGGGAAAGGTATGAATCCTCTTCTAGATTTTCCCGGAGGATTAATGGATAGCGGCTCGGATTGAGGAATCGGAGAGCCGAGTTCGAATTCCAGTCGAATCCATTACATTCACTTACGTGCTAATACCCTTTGGGAAAGGTATGAATCCTCTTCTAGATTTTCCCGGAGGATTAATGGATAGCGGCTTGGATTGAGGAATCGGAGAGCCGAGTTCGAATTCCAGTCGAATCCATTACATTCACTTACGTGCTAATACCCTTGGGAAAGGTATGAATCCTCTTCTAGATTTTCCCGGAGGAGTAATGGATAGCGGCTCGGATTGAGGAATCGGAGAGCCGAGTTCGAATTCCAGTCGAATCCATTACATTCACTTACGTGCTAATACCCTTGGGAAAGGTATGAATCCTCTTCTAGATTTTCCCGGAGGATTAATGGATAGCGGCTCGGATTGAGGAATCGGAGAGCCGAGTTCGAATTCAGTCGAATCCATTACATTCACTTACGTGCTAATACCCTTGGGAAAGGTATGAATCATCTTCTAGATTTTCCCGGAGGATTAATGGATAGCGGCTCGGATTGAGGAATCGGAGAGCCGAGTTCGAATTCCAGTCGAATCCATTACATTCACTTACGTGCTAATACCCTTGGGAAAGGTATGAATCCTCTTCTAGATTTTCCCGGAGGATTAATGGATAGCGGCTCGGATTGAGGAATCGGAGAGCCGAGTTCGAATTCCAGTCGAATCCATTACATTCACTTACGTGCTAATACCCTTGGGAAAGGTATGAATCCTCTTCTAGATTTTCCCGGAGGAGTAATGGATAGCGGCTCGGATTGAGGAATCGGAGAGCCGAGTTCGAATTCCAGTCGAATCCATTACATCCACTTACGTGCTAATACCCTTGGGAAAGGTATGAATCCTCTTCTAGATCAGCCATGAGGATTAAATACCAGATTGACAAACGGAGAGGAGTTCGAATTCCAGTCGGATCCATTACAAAGAAATGCTAAACCCTTGGGAAAAAATGAATCCTCTTCAGATTTTCCGGAAAGATACATGGATCGCATAAGCCGAGTTCGAATTCAGTCGAATCCATTACATTCACTTATAATACGCATGGCACATAAGTCTTCTGATATATATATGGATCACAGGAATCGGAGAGCCGAGACACACACACACATATATATATATATGTGTGTGTACCCTTTAAAAAAATGTATAGAAAAATATAAATTTTAGGTTAATTATTCTTTTTTTAGTATTTTTGTTTTTATTTTTATTAAACAGTGCTCATTTACACAAGTAGAGTCAGGCGATCAATCTAAATTATAATTATTTTAAAAAAAAATATGAATCCATCGTATGATCCTCTTACATAATTTTCCATGGAGGAAAAACAGAAGTTAAAAACTTCAATTTAATTATAAAAATTAAATTGAATTGAAGTCCAAACCATTGTTTCATACTCAATACGATTTGGGAAAGAATAACTAATCTTGAAATTTTGAACTATATATATATATATACATATATGTCCCTCCCAAGTGAGCATGCATGATGAAAAAAATGTCAAAAACTTAATAAAAACAAAGTTTTATCGTCAAACAATATTTGGATTATTAAATTACAGATTTTAATCCTTTTTAGCATCTTCAAAATTAACGTTAATCGAATTTTTTCTTGCCTCAACTGTTTACGATAAATTAATAAAAAGTAATTTTAGTGTTTTTTGCGGTGAAAAAAACATTGAATTTCGTAATTGTCGCTAAAAAGAAGGTAATAATCGGCGGATTTTAATGAAACTCGGAGAATTCATTCACAATTAATTAATAATAATAATAATAATAATAATAATAATAATAATAATACAATTGAGAAAACAACGAGAATGTTCCGTGTTTTTTCACGTTTGCAGAATTTCTGCCAAAAATCGGCCACTAGATAAACACAGCTACAATATTCAATAAATTAAGAAAAATTAGCTTGAACATTTTTTCTTAAGTTATTTAATACATACACAAACACATACATACATAAAAAAACACACACACACACACACACACACACACACACACATATATATATATATATATATATATATATATATATATATATATATATAAAAGAAATATGTTGTAGTGGTTCCAACGAGAAAAAAGTATGTATATTAAAAGAAGAGGGTGCTGCAAACGTTTTTGGTTGTAATGTGGATTTATTGAGAAAAAATATTATACTTTGTTTTACATAATTTCACGACACGTGTTTCTGGTCTGGTCTCGCAACCGTCTTCAGGTGAAAGTGGAGATTTTTACATATTATTAAAAATAAATTAATTTTCTTCATGTTCAATGTGGAATATTCTCGATATGAGACATTCTGTTTTGTGTTGGCAATCCGAATTTTCTTTCTAGAATTAAAAATGAAGAGTTTCGTGAAGGGTCATAAAACAATTAAGGTTTGTCCAGTGAGTAGTTATCGGAAAATTTAATCTTTTAATGTTTTAGTGACCTCTATGTGCTCTGGATCTGTTTCTATTTTGGCGTGTTCTGTCAGCATGCGTGTATATATATATGCGTATATTTCCTTACTACGAGGAATTATATAAACTTATTTATATATATATACGCATACACACACATACGCATATACACACTATCCCACCACATATAGTATATATATATATATATATATATATATATATATATATATATATATATATATATATATATATATATAATATATGTTGACACGGCGTGGTGTAATGGTTAGCAAGCTTGTCTCGCTAGAACATATTACGACTGAGTAGTGAGTTCAATCCTCACAGGGTGCTCCATACTTCCGGCCTTGTGCCACATCTAAGCAGCGCTTAGAAAATCGCTATATGTTGACAGGTTGATTAATACATAGATAGATGAATGACTAGATAGATCGATAGATATGAAAAACAGATAAGTAGATTGATGAATACATACATAGATTCATGAATAGATTGATGACTAGATGGATAGATATCAATCTATCTATCTATCTTGATCTGACTTGATAGACAGACAGACAGATAGATAGATAGATAGATAGATAGATATGAACAGGATGAGATAGATAGATAGATAGATAGATAGATAGATAGATAGATAGATACCGTATATACTCACGTATCCTACGAATTTTAAGATCTAATTTTGAAGCTAATTTTAAGAAGATCGCATCGTACACGAGATATAAAATAAGAATATATACTGCTGGCCCTGGTCATGCCGTTAACCAATCTATATATGCATTTACTGTAATGAAATTAGCTTCAAAATTAGGTAATAATATAGATAATAAACAGACTGTGATAGATAGATAGATAGATAGATAGATAGATAAGAAAGATAGATATATAGATAGATAGTTATGAAAAGACGGCTATGAAACACACACACACACACATATATATATATATATATATATATATATATATATATATATATATGATAGATTGATGAATAGACAGACTGATGAATAGATAGATAGATAGATATGAAAAGACAGATAGATAGATAGATAGATAGATAGATAGATAGATAGATAGATAGATAGATGACTAGATAGTGAGTTAGATAGATATGAAAAGACAGATATGTAAAGATAGATATATAGATGAATAGATATAAAGTTTTGATGATAGATGATAGATAGATAGATATGATGAGACAGATATATAGATAGATAGTTATGAAAAAGACAGACATATAGTTAGATAGCTATGAAAAAATATATATATATATATATATATATATATATATATATATATATATATATATATGATAGATTGATGAATAGACAGACTGATGAATAGATAGATAGATTGATTGATTGATAGATAAATAGATATGAAAAGACAGATTATAGATAGATAGATATGAAAAGACAGACAGATAGATAGATAGATGATAGATGACTAGATAGTGAGCTAGATAGATATATAGATAGATATGAAAAGACAGATATGTAAAGATAGATATATAGATGAATAGATATAAAGTTTGATGACCTGATAGATAGATAGATAGATAGATAGATATGAAAAGACAGAGGCAGATATATGGATAGATAGCTATGAAAAGACAGCTGTATATATATATATATATATATATATATATATATATATATATATATATATATATATGTATAGAGTGATGTATGGACAAACTGATAGATAGATAGATAGATAGATAGATAGATAGATAGATAGATATGAAAAAACATAGATATATAAATAGATATGAAAAGACATATATAAATAGATAGATTTATGAATAAATAGATAGTTTGATGACTAGATAGATAGATATGAAAACTACTAGGGCGTTCTGTGGTTGACACTTATTGACTGATCCCAATAAGTGACCCGTTCGATCGGCGGTCGTCGCTACCCGACGGGATCTTTTGGTCAGGGTACCAAATGGGATGGACGGTCTATTCTAACTGAACGAATACGTAACATCAGATGCAATCGGTTCGACACCAGCTCCGTCGTTCTCAGCTCGCTTTCAATGACTGGTTACCGAAGTAACTGCTTTGATCTCAAGTCTAACCTACCCACGTTGTGATTTTGATCTTAGGTTGACAAGATCAATGAGACACCGGAGCCGGCGTGCAAGGTAAGTCTAAACTGGAGGTGACGTCGCACAAGCAAAAAAAGAAATAAATGAAAACCAAAAACGTTCGAGTATGTTTAGAGAAAGCAAATCAACTTTTATCAGTCTGTTATATACAGGAGTGTGTTTTCTTCCCAACTCGTTTCTTCTGAGATTAACACTTTTATACTTCTAGGCAAGTTCCGGTTTTCTAAGTCAACTGGTTTAGTTTTTAAGTGCTGGCTTAGCTTCGTTCGTCAGTATCACTTGCTGTTTGTCGAAAAGCGAAATCGGAGGTTCTCCTGTCGGGTAGAATCGTGGAATCTCTCGGTCAGCTCTGAACAGCAACTCTCTAACTCCAACTGCAACTGGCGAACTTCCCAAGGCCGCTCGCTTATATGGACTTGAAATATGGACTTGTTAGACGCAGCCTGGGGGTTTCGGTGAATCCCCAATTTCCAACAAGGGATCCTTTGTTGCCTGGCCAGGTAAATTAATTACTTCCCATTTTTGTAAAAAAAATTACCTCCTATATCTGGGAGGGGATCCCTATGTCCGTGAGGAGAGGTTGCAGGATAGCTATCCTCCTAAACTCCTTCGTCCTCACATTGGTACCTCACATAAATTCCTTTCGGTGAGCGTTAGTAACTTCTCTCTTTCTTATTATTTTACCTCCGCCTGTCACTACAGCTACCACGCGATCAATGGCGCCTCGGTCGTGCTGGCGTGGCTAAGCTTTATCCATTAATTAACTCTTTGACACCTCTGCTTATGCAGGATTACTTATCCTGTTTCCAGATCATGAGCAGTTAGAATTATCATCTGGAACTTTGTTTACGGAAACCCTTTTTGCGTCCTGCGAAAATTCCTACAATTAATCCATGGCCCTCACATTTGGCCATTTCCTCGGTCATATTAGCGGTTTAAACAATATCTATGCACTGTCGAACGATAAATCGCATCTTCGTTGATTCTGGTTATTCTTTGTTTTCTTAACCAGCGCTTTTAACGACAATCATCAATCAATTGCCAGAGATCGCTACATTGCCTTTACGTAAAATTATTGTTGACGCAATTCTTCGGTTTCTTGAGAAGTACAGACTTTTTGAAAAAAAAAAAAATAAAAATAGGAGGTCTTCTTATGTTGATCGGTATGTCCCTCGGGATATCTCTTAACCCTTCTTTTCTGTTTTCAGCATTTTCCCGTTCAATTTTTATAGCCAATTAATTAATTAATTACCTGTTGTGGAGTTATTTCGCAGTGGAGGCTTGTATTTGTACTAAATCGGTCCTAAATAGGTTCGACGTACAAAACGTTAGGAACTTGATATAATAGGTATTACGCAGAGTAATCTTGTTGTGGTCGCTGACTACTTTCCTATTCGACTAACTGTCGACTACTGTCGTCCGACATCGACTGACCCTCGTTTCTCTTACTACTCCTACTTATATTAGGTGGGAGAGACTATTAACTATAGAATAGGTGTGTTTCACCATAACATTACCATAGCTAAATAGTGTCACATATAAACATTACTTCTATTTATTTTTAGAATTATCCTTTCAATTCTCGAATAAGTTTCTTGATGTTAAGATGAAATTCATCAAGGAAGGCGCCGTAGTTTTCTCCTACCCCTAGTACTTTCTATGATCATCTTCAGGGGTGAATTAAAAGACAAACTCATTGTAACTGTGATGGTGATTTTTTTAAAAACACGCGCGAACTTGCTTTTATTTTAAAGTTTTAAATTTATCCGTTGTAGCTA